TTATTATTATTATTATTATTATGTATACAGTATTCTGTCTGTGTGTCTGCCTGCAGGCCAGAAGAGGGTGTCATATCTCATTTTAGATGGTTGTGAGCCACCATGTGGTTGCTGGGAATTGAACTCAGGACATTTGGAAGAGCAGGCAATGCTCTTAACCGCTGAGGCATTTCTCCAGCCCTCCCTCCCAGTTCTTACCTCATTTCTGTTGCTGTGGGGGCTTCTGCGCCCAGGGTCATGGTCAGGCAGGACATACACACATACACCGTCAGAACTGAATGGGCTTGTTGAGAGCAGCTGGAGGTAGAGAACTCACCTGACGCCTGTCTTGTGTGGTGTTTTTCAGGATTTCTTCTTCTATTCTTTAGTCTACGACCCACAGCAGAAGACCCTCCTGGCTGATAAAGGGGAAATCCGAGTAGGAAATCGGTACCAGGCTGACATCACCGACTTGCTAAAAGAAGGTGAGGTTCAGGCTGGGCCAGGAGAGAGGAAGCTGGAAGTAGTACCTGTAGCTGGAACCTCGGTAACCTTGACTTCGGCTCTTTCAACACCTCCTTCCTTGGGGACATTGGAATCCAGAAGCAAATCTCAAATCCAAGAGCCACCTGTTGAACCCCTTGAGCTTCGTGATCTGGGATTTCCCTTTGGCGGTTCATTATGACTTTGATTTTATATTGTTTCTGCTAGGCAGCTGCTCTGTCACATGCCACAACCCCAGCCCCATTCGTCGTATTTATTTATATTTCGTGTGTGTGGATATTTTGCTTGCAAGTGTATTGGTGCACCACTTTTGTACAGTGCCCATGGAGTCAGAAGAAGGTGTTGGATCTCTGTGGGTGGAGTTACAGGCAGTTGTGAGCTGCTCTGTGGGTGCCGGCAGTTGAACTCAGGTTCCCTTGAAGAGCAGTCAGTGTTGTTAACGAAAGAACCATTTCCCCAGCCCTATTCATTCCCAGTTGTTTTGAGACAGAGTCTCACTCATTTTACATAGCCCAAACTGACCTGCCCTCTTGCTTGCCTTGAAAGCGCTGAGGATACAGAGGCAGCCACCACACTTGATTCATTGTAGTTTTTACATTTGTGCGAGGTGTGTAGAGGGCAGAAGACCTACCCTGTGAAACCCAGGATTAGTTCAGGTTCTTAGTGTGCTTGTGGAGGTCAGAGAACAACGTGTAGGAGTCACCTCTTTCTAGCATGTGGGTTCTAGAGATTGAACTCAAATTGTCAGGCTTGGCTACAAGCACTTTTGCATACTGAACCATCTCAACACCACCTCCTTTTTGGGGTGGTGTAAAATCACATTTATTTATTCATTAATCTGTATTTAGGGGTTTGGTGGTCAGAGGACATCCTGCAAGAATAGGTTCTGTCCTATAATGGTGGGTCACAGAGATCAAACTCAGTTTCTCAGGTTTGGTCAGAAGTGATTTTACCACCACCAGAGCAGATTGACACCCACCAACTCTGACATAGCATCTGAGACTTGCAGGTCCCCCCACATCTTCCTTCAGCAGCCCTAGCAGAATGATCTGATGAGCTCAAGACCCTGGCCTTTGTCCCCTAATAAAGCGCTCAGGCTCTGTCCCAATAGCCTGTCAGAGGTTCCATATCCCATCTAACTGTTAGCTCAATTTAAGAGAGTAGTACGTAGTCTGAGGCTGTGCTAGTACAGTGCATTGCTGCCTTAGAGTACTTGGCCCTAGTCAGCACATGTTCACGTCATTTTGCGTGTCCTTCTCTTTAACTTTGGTGCTTTTTATTCTTTGTTTTCTGTGCTTATTAATCTCAGAATGTGGTGCTAAGCCCAGTTGGGTGGCAGCTGGGTGGGACCTGGCTTATCAAACAGCTGGCTCTCTAGATACAAGGGTGCTTCCCTCTTGAGTTCTGTGTTCAGTAGACTGCTTTGTTGACTTCTGTCTCATGGTTGAGTCTCTGACACTTAGGCATCCTGATGCCCATGCACAGCCTCTTAGCCAGAGCCAGCCAGTTGCTCCCTGTGCTGGCCTCAGTTCAGCTTCTTCCCCAAACAGCCCCAGCTCTGAGGCTCTATAAGCAGTCCTGAACCATGTCCAGCCTCCTGGGCTGAAGCCACAGTATCTGCTTTCTTAGCCTGGCCAGGGGAAGAGATGGAGGAAAGTAACAGAGGCCTTGCCTGTGAAATCTACATGAGCTTAGGTTACACAGGGACCAGAAACTTGGCGAGGTCTCAAAGGTTAGAGGACCTCGATTGGAGCATCTGTTCTTCGGAATCCAGCAGTTCCATGAGTCCCAGGCATTTGTTGGCTCATTGGTGAGTGCTAGGAGAATGCATCCCTAAGAGAGCCACTCAGGGTCCCAGAGGAATGGCCTGCCACCGTGGCCTCTTCCCTCCTAGTACTCCTCTGTAGCCTCTTGACCCAAAGGCAGTTGCTTCCCATGATGTCTTTCTTAAAAATACTTACTTTTATTCATGTGTGTGTATGCCATGTGTCAGGGGTGCCCACAGAGATCAGAGGTGTTTGTGAGCTGCTAGACATGGGTACTGGAAATTCGGGTACTGGGACTTGAACTTGGGTCTTCTGGAATACATGCTCTTAACTGCTGAGCCATCTCTCCATCCCTACCCACAGTCCCTCTTTGAATTTGAATATGAAATTGAATACCTGCCTCCATTAACTATGTTGGAAATTTCAAAGGAGCAGTGTAGGTGGGAATCCTCTGGTGTTCTTTGCTCTCAGTTTCAGACAGTTGCAAATCATTTGCTTTGACCAGTGTCTTGGTTTTTGGAACCTTGGAATACTAAGCATTACACACTGTGTCTCCAGGTGAAGGGATTGAGTGCAGTCCATACCAAGAGAGAAACCTACCCACAACACTGAGGAAATGCCCCTGTACTAGGCCTGCATAGGCTAAAGATTATAGAATCCAGCGGTGGACCGTGACTGCCAGAGAACCTGATAATGATACAAACTCCTCAATCCTTACCATGGTCCATACTGGGACCGTGAAGTCCATGGTCTTGTCCACAGAAGTGCGGTGGTGGGCTTCCGACTCAGTACCCTCATCCTCTGTGATCTGCCCTGCCCTGGATTTAGGGCCTAGAGATAGTAACTCTTTAAGAGGACCAGAAATACCTCCTTGGAGACATCCAGTCCTTTTATTAGAGAGCTTGCTCCGTGCCCTGACTTGGAACCCAGTACCCTGCAGGGACTCAAGTACTGGCTGTTCATGGACACATGGTGCATTGATGCCAAGGACCAAAGGGGAATTGATTGGATCTGATGCAAATCCCGAAGCCTGATACCTTCATTAAATTATGAATGTAGTCCTTGGCTGGAGAGTCAGACAATGGATGATTGTGGGATTTCTCCTTGGGGCATCTCCCTAGAGTCAGGCCTGGCCCGGCTCACGATACAGTTCTCTAGACTCTCAGTGCTGCTGTGTGCTCTTCATGATTACAGTTATTTCTTCACCAATTGTCCCATAACTCCCAGAGTAACAGATCCCTCCCTTCCCCAGGTCATGCCCAGCCTCGGGTGTTGGGTATGTATAGGGTGTACAAGCCCTCCCGGGCCAAGTGCCGGGTAGGTTATGTGTATGGGTGTATGTACTGCCCCACCCCCCAGTCAGCACTTCCCATCACCTGGGGAAAAGTGATACCGTGGGGCCTGGGGAACAAACAGACTTTTTGGTTTCACTCTGGAGTGTTTCCCACAGCCTTTGCTGCTCTAACGCTTGTTTCCCATAGGTGAGGAGGATGGCCGTGATCAGTCAAAACTGGAGACCAAGGTGTGGGAAGCCCACAATCCACTTGTGGATAAGCAGATTGACCAGTTTCTTGTAGTGGCCCGGTGAGTCCAATAACCAGGGGTAAGCAAGTTGTTGCCTGCAGCATGGTGGTGGGTCTTGGGGACACGGAGCCTTCATTTGTACATCCAACATGAAGTCCATGGTCTCGCCCTTGTTTCCTGCTCAGACCTTTCCTGAGTATGGATGCAACCTTTTATGGCTGCAAACATCCTGGGTTCCTGCAGATCCCCATGACAAGTGTACCTGTATGTCTGGGCCTCTGTTCTTACTGTGTGCCCTGAGGTCTATCTCCACCATAGGCAGGCGCTTCTCCCAGGACTAGGCTAGGATCTAGCTAAAGAGCTCCCAGCTGTCTGAGTGGGTGGCTGGAGGCTGCTTGAATGAAGGAGGTAGGACCTAGAGAACCAGTGCTGAGCCCACAGGGCAGTTGAAGCCCAAGTGAATTCCAGCATGGCCCAGGAGGAGCCCTGTCTACCTTTGCCACAGACGGTGAGGCTTGGCATTCCCAGGTCTGAGGCAGCTCCCCTTAGAGAGATCTCCAGCAGACATAGTGGAGATGGAGAATTCTCCTAACCAGCATCGAGGCACTTTTTGTATGTTCTTTACCCTGACTCATTTGCACATGGGAACTCAGATGCCACCAAATTGCTCATGCAGCTTCTACCTGGCCTCCTCTACAACTGAACCCCAGAGACCCTTTGGTGGGTGTGCCACTTGGGTCCTGGCCCTCACTGACTTGCCTGGTGGAGGCAATCCCTCCAGCTCTGGTGGTTAGTGAATCTCCCTCTCCCCAGCTCCGTGGGCACCTTTGCACGGGCCCTGGATTGCAGCAGCTCCGTGCGGCAGCCTAGCCTGCACATGAGTGCCGCAGCAGCCTCCCGAGACATCACCCTGGTGAGTGGGTCACTGCCACTTCCCCTGCTTTCTTCTGGGGTCCAACAGCCGCAGAGGCATAGAGGGTCCTAGCAAGGAAACTGAGGACTTCAGTATCTTCTGGTACACCTTAGATTTGTCTAACATATGCCAAGGGAGTTAGGGAGGATTTCCCACCCAGGGGCCTTGGCAGCTACTAGATTGTTACCTTGAGACCTGAAAGAGTGGGGGGTCATATCCCAGGTTGAGGAAGATACTCCTTAGGGCCTGGGGACAGCCTGGACCCAGGGAGCCCTGCTGTCTTACAGTTCCATGCTATGGACACGCTGCACAAGAACATCTACGACATCTCCAAGGCCATCTCAGCCCTCGTGCCGCAGGGGGGGCCGGTGCTCTGCAGGGACGAGATGGAGGAGTGGTCAGCATCAGAAGCCAACCTTTTCGAGGAAGCTCTGGAAAAATACGGGAAGGATTTCACAGACATTCAACAAGATTTTGTAAGTGCTTGAGGCTGTGGTAGTGGCTAGCCAGGCCCCATCTCTCACCAAGGAAGATGCCTGTGCCTGTCCAGGCCCCTGCCCTTTCAGTCTGGGCATAGGCACTCACTGTGGAGCTAGGATTCTACTGTGTAGGAGCTTCCCTTGGGGGCATCCTCAAGACTTACCAGACCCATCCTCAAGACTTACCAGACCCATCCTCAAAACTGCTTGAACTTGTTTTGTTCTTAACTAAGTTGAGCCTCACTCCTATGTAAATCACAGTAAAGACTTCAGGGTCTTTACTGAGTGGCCGAAGCCCTCAGAGTCCCCAACTCCCCAAAGGATTGAATAGTGCTAAACTTGACTTGAAAGCCTGCAGACACTCTGGGGAAGGAGGTGAATCAGCTGGGCCACCTCTACAGCCTTGAGGTTATAGTGAGTGGACTCTGTTGTCCATTGGGAGCACTGTCAGAATAATAGCAAGGCTAAGCATGTTGAAATATTTCTATAATCCCAGCATTCAGGAGGCTGAGACAGGAGAATTATGAGTTTGAGACCAACCTGGGTAACAGTGAGAGCCTGCTACAAAACCAACAAACTCAGCAGCAGCAAGTCCAGACCAGGGTGGGAGAGCCAGGAGCATGCAGAGTGCTGGCATAGGCATGGACAGGAGGTTTGAAGGGCCGACAGTCAGAAGGCGTAGCCCCAGGAGGCCCACAGAACCCAGGTCTCTGCTAGACAGCTGGGCAGTGGTGGCACACGCCTTTAATCTCAGCACTTGGGAGGCAGAGACAGGCAGATCTTTGTGAGTCCAAGGCCAGCCTGGTCTACAGAGTGAGTCCTAGGAAAGGCAGAGCTGTTATACAGAGAAACCCTGTCTTTAAAACAAAACAAAAAATAATAAATAAAGTGAGCATAACCTTTTTAGACAGAAAGTAGTTAGAAGAATGGGATAGAAAGAATACAGCAATTAGAACAGAGCTGGCAGCATTTGAGGGAGGGCTAGACATGGTTGCTCCAATGGGTGGACAGCCCTGGAGAATCGGCACATTTCTAGACTCCATTCTGCAGATAAACTGAGTCTGTCCGAGACTCAAAAGAAAGGGTTGCAGAGCCACCTGCTGGAGAGCAAGGCCTACTGGCCAGAGGATCAAGTGAACCAGATACAGAAACAGGATTGATTGTCCACAGAACAGACAAACCCCATGCCACAAAACACACTTTCATGAGTCTGCTCTCGGCCAATTGTTCATGCAAATAAAGCTGAGCTGATACTAAAGAAACAGATGACATTTCTAACTACCATGCTAGGCTGTAAAGACCGAAGCCCTAGTCTTGGGGTATAACTCAGTGGTATAATGCTTGATTGCATGGGCGATACCCTGGGTTTGATCCCCACCACTGCCAAAAACAACCCATTGAGCCCTTTGAAATTACAACTGCCATTTTTTTAAACAGTAGCTTGAGGTGAAAAGATTTCAGTCACTTGGCTTGTGGCCCAGGAAGCACTGGAAGAGGAGCAGGGTCAAGGGGCTCTTACACACTACTGTGTGCTGAAAGATAAAGGCCACCCCAGCCCTCAACATTGAGCAAAATACTAAGGGGAAGAATAAAGAATCTGTAAGAAGCTGTAGAATTAACTACCCCAGAGAAGCAGCACAGCTGGCTTTCCTGCCAAGGAGAAGCACAGCATTGGCTGTGGGTGGCACAAGGGCCTCTCGTCTCGTTTTGGACACTCTTGTGCTCAGAGGACAAAGAGCACAAGAGCAAAGCACTGAGAATGGTGACACAGTCGTCGGGACCTGCTCTTGTCTCGTGATGGGCAGAAGGGCAAGACAACAAGGTCTGCCAGTCCTGTCCTTTTCGTGCCTGGTCCTTAGTGAGGACAGAACCAAGTTCTTGTCAGGTTCTAGCCTGAGTTTTCAAGGGAAGGTCAGCCACCCACTTCCTGTTGTTAGCAAGCAGGGGAGGGAGTTTGTTGTTGTGTGGGGGACCAGAATTGATACTCCAGCGCTGCCCTTGCCTCTGCTACCCTACTCCTTACCTATGTGGGCAGTAGTCCTGTTTCTGCTACCCATGATGTCGCCTTCTCCCCCAGCTCCCATGGAAGTCGCTCACCAGCATCATTGAGTATTACTACATGTGGAAGACCACCGACAGATACGTCCAACAGGTGGGCCATCCCACCCTCCCACACCACATCCACCTCGTCCTTCCCCACAGTCCCCATATAGTCCCATTAATGTGTTCATGCCTTCCCTAAGCACTGGAGCAAAGAGGAAGGAGCCACGGTCCCTAGAGGACTCAGAGACTGGGGGGAAGGGACATTATTGAACCCTAGCCAGCCTGACACCTCCACTTCCTAGTCCTAGGTTGGCCAGGAGGGAGGCCATGCAAAATTTTCACAAGTCTTTTCCAAGGGAGCCAGTGATGGAAAAACAATGATGTCCCCCTCCCTGTGGTCTCCCTGCTGCCTTGGCCAGCCTGGTGACCTACCTAACCCTTTGTTTTGTTTTAAGAAACGTTTGAAAGCAGCTGAAGCAGAGAGCAAGTTAAAGCAGGTTTATATTCCCAACTAGTAAGTTCATTCTTATTTTCCTGGGGGCCAATGGTAGATGGGCAGTGGGTGTGGGACTCTTAGGATCCATTGGGGTCAGTGGCCTCCTGAGCTAAGTCAGGGAACCTCCGTCACCCTTTTCATGAGCTTCTTAGCTGGGGAGGAGGGATGAGGATTCAAATTCTTTTGACCCTGGAGTCAAGCTGGGTTTAGTGCTCAGCATATTGGGGCATGGAGTATGGCAGCCAGAATACAACAGACCAGGGGTACAGGGATGTCTGTTGGGATACAGACACCCCAGGGCACCTGTGACTGATCCTTCTCCTCCATCAGTAACAAGCCAAATCCAAACCAGATCAGCGTCAACAGTGTCAAGGCCAGTGTAGTGAATGGCACAGGGACACCAGGCCAGAGCCCCGGGGCCGGCCGGGCCTGCGAGAGCTGTTACAGTAAGTGCTGTACCTGGCACCCACCATGGGCAGCAGGGGCCACGGGAATGCTACTATGTGGTTATGGCGCTCATGGGGCCCCTGAAGGCTCCTGTGCCCAGAACTGGAATGACTCACCATAACGGGGCTACAGTGGGGGGGGGGGTGGTTTGGAAGTCTTCCACGGGAATGTAAAGTGGACCTGCTTTGGCCCTGGGCC